TTATAATATAAAGTTAAGACATAACCACAAATGTGGGGAGGAACGGATTGTAGCAAACTGCCTGTGAAGATGTAATACATTCACTCAGCAGTGATTTTGTTGAGAACCTTTAAGTGCCAGGTTCTCTACCAGGCCCTGGGGACACACGGATGAACAAGACAGACACAGGCCCTGTCCTCAGGCAGCTTACATTCCAGTCAGGTTGCACACGGTAAGGAGGTGATTAGAAGCAGAGAGGGAGAACCTAGGAGGACACCCAAGCATTTACAGTGTCAAAATGCCATAGTCACAGTGGAAAAACGGTAGGTTTCCCTGGGACTCTGATGAGTGCTGCCCTCTAGAGGTGTCACAGAGAAAAACACTTCTCAGTCCACATCAGAGGGACCAGCAACTCTGGGAGGGTTTTCCCCGGGGGAGGGGGGGGGAGGTCTCGACATCTTGCCCCTCAGGTGGGAGCAGAAAAGCAGGGTTCCAGATGAGGCGGTGTCCTGTGACAGGAACTTCTGGTGTGCTCTCTTCAGCCCCATAACACCATGTTTACTGAAGCCTAGGGATTACACTCTCTGGATTGCTCCATGGGTGCATGGGGCTTTAGCCTGGTCATCTCTCAATTTCATGAAGAAACAAGGACACAAATCATCCAAACAGTGCCATTCCAGGTCGTTTTCTCTCTATGAATCAATAGCCTGTTTTCACTGTGTCCAGCGTCAGCTTTGGGTTCAGGGATGTGTTCAGAGCCCCGGGGCAGGATGAGCTCAGCCCAGGAGGGGGAAGAAGGGGGAGATGCTGAGAGCATCCAGGCTTCCTCTTCTCCATCCCGGCTTGACTGAAGAGGGTGGTGGAGCAAGGACATACTAGAGGCTCTTGGTCAGGGCTTCTGGGTTCTCTGTGACCAAAGGCTGACCCTCACCATCCCATCCGTCTCCACTAGCCTCACAAACAGCATCTCACTAGCCACCCCCACCACACCTCGGCCACCCTGCTGTGAAGACCACCACCATCCCTTATGTTTGTCTTGAACTGGGTTATGAATTGCTGCACCCACACCTCACTGTCTGTATAGTCTGACCCTGTGGAGTCGTGTAGACCCACAATACACTGTTAACTGGGTGAGCTATAAACCCCCAAATTCCCACATTTTTCACCATCAAGAACCCCTTTAAACCGTAATAGCCACTGCAAACACCACTACTAGTTATTACTTGGTTTATGTGGGCCGGGTCCTGTAACATGCATTTTAAAACACCTGATATTCTACCCACGTTTTATAGATAAGGAAACTAAGTCCTGGAGATGTGAAGTGACTGTGTACAGATCACACAGCTATTACGAGGCAGAGTCAAGATTGGAACCAAATCCTATCAACACTGAAAACCGTTTTCTTGACATCTGTCTCTTGACATTTGGTTTATAGATTCTGCTAATTAAGTAAACTGTGTGATTATATAATTACTGCTTTTCATATTTACAGTTTAAAATCCCACAACCATTCAAAGCTTCTGGTCCGACTGAGACAGCCTTGCTATTGGCTGTCACTCCAACCACAGAGACTTGCCTAAGTAGAAGGGATAATATACATCAAGGTATAAATCCTGAATGTAGGTCAAGGGTAGAGTATATGTTCACCAATGTCAGACTGCTTTAAATTCAAAAAAAACAAGTATGGCATGGTGAAACAGCAACCAACTTCAAAAATCATGGCAACTTATGTTTATTGAGCACTTAGTGTATACCTGGTACTGTTTAAAATCCTTTGCA